AGGAGTTGGTGCTTTCAGTCTGTCGACATCTGGGATCATCAAGAGCTCGGAACATTCGAGGCTAATTCCCCAAAACGTCCTCCGGAATTGATGACGATGTTTCAGAAGAGCGCTACGACAAAAAGTCTCTCAGGAACTTCAAACGAAACTAAATCTGCTGTTTTCTGGAGAACAAAGGACATGAAAGGTTTTTGGGTTCGTCTGGTGAGGAAAACTTTTCCTGGAAGACGGTGCTGTCCTGGGAGGACGCTCTTGGATCTGTGTGAAGAATCTAAAACAGAAATAAAAACAGCTGGAGAGGAAGCAGGAACAACAAACCAAGACAAATCCCTAAAGTCAACGCAATCATCATGTTTCAGCGTCATGCCTGAACAGCCTCTGTTCAGAGATATAGAGATTCTATCCTTCAGGACCGACGAGCTGCAAATTTAAAACAAACCAACAAAAACTGGATGTAGATGAATCAGAAAAGTGATGAAGCTGTAACCTGATCTGGTTCTAGTTTTATTTAGCATGCGTGGCCGCTCTGCGCGTCTGTAAAATTCACATTTCTGACTTTATTTAAAATAAATAAAATAAACAATGAATGAAATAATAAAGCTGCTGCAGGTGTGATGATTTAACCCATCAGCCCATTTTCTTCCACTCACCTCCTGTTTATAGGAAAGTCAAATCCTCCCACCCACAGCCAAACTTTCCACCTGCTGGGAGTTTCGGTTGTCAGAGACAGAGGGATGTTTGATCTTCGGACAGAAATGATTTAAACCTTCTTAAGCAGAATAATCTGATGAAAGTGATCCGGCTGAGTTTTCTGACTTCATATTTGAATCGGCTCCATCTGCAGACTGAACCTGTTTTTCTCCCACGCTTCAGTCGCTTCCTCTCCAGCAGGGGCGCCTCCAGAACATTTTGATGGGGTGGCCAGATGGGGCCAGAGAAATTTTTGGGGTGGCACACCAAATTGGTCCTTCTGGTAACTCTGCGAGAATTTAGCCTGTGGTAATGTGCTGCATTGCACCTTTATTCATTTTGATTAAAATAACATTAGGTATCCAAAACATTTAACTTAAAATTTACAAACACAAACATTTCAGAAATATATATTTCACTTATTTAAAATGTTATCCCTGATTTAATTTAAAAATGTTTTTTTAGGTTAATTCACCTGTTGCTGTGTTTAAAAAACTATGGAGATAAAACTTTTTAAAAGCAGAAAAAAATGTTTTTTTTTATTCTGATTATTTCTTTACTCATTAATTGTAATATTTTATTTTGTTTTACAATTATGTCTTGAATAAACAAGATCAATATATGGTTTGACTGAACATTAATATGATTAGTTAACACTGGCTTTTCCTGGGGGGGGGGGGGGGGGGCAATTTTATAGGGGTGGCCATGGCCACCCCTGGCCACCCCTTGGGGGCGTCCTTGGAGTTCACCTGGACAACAGACTGGACTGGAGAAAGAACAGTGAAGCCGTTTACAAGAAGGGACACAGCAGACTGCACTTCTTGAGGACGCTTAGGTCCTTCAATGTCGTAGCAAGATGCTGCAGATCTTCTACAAGTCTGTTGTTGAGAGTGTAATCTCTTCAGCCATCGTCTGTTGGGGTAGCAGCATCAGAAGCAGGGTCCTGAAAAGGCTCAACAGCCTAATAAAAAAGGCTGGTTCTGTTCTGGGGACGACTGTGGAACCACTGGAGGAGATGATGCAAAGAAGGATTCTCCAGAGAATCAAGAAAATGATGGACAACCCTGAGCATTCTCTTCACAAGACTGTCCGACAACGGAAGAGTGTCTTCAGTCAGAGGCTTCTTCAGTTTGGCTGCAACACTGACCGCTACTGGAGATCCTTTCTGCCAACAGCCGTTGTAATACACAACAACTCATTGATGACTTGATTATTATTATTATCCTGAGCTACTACAGCAATCAATTTCCCTCTGGGGTTAATAAAGTATTTTTGAATTGAATTTGAATTGAATGTACGAAGACGTGTGTGTTCTGCCTCCACAGGGCAGCGGCCATGATGACATGATTAGGATAACAAATGTGTGTGTTGTTTCTCATCATAATGAGCGCTGCCTGGCTCATTAGCTACTTCCTGTTAGCAGCCTAATGAAAGGCCAGACAGCATCACTGCTATCTGTCATCTTCACTGCGCCGCTGTCAGCACCAACCTGATGGATGAGGTTTAGAGGCGGATCAGCAAATGTAGAAGCATCAACAAACAGCGGTTTGTAGCCGTAAAGAGTTACGAAGCTAAAAGCAGGGCCTCCTCCTGGATCCTTCTGAGGTGGATCCGTCATGGAGCCGACCTGTCGGTCCTGGACCTCCAGCAAAGGCTGGATCAGATAGAAATCTAGAGGTTAGCGCAAAACGGGGTGCTATAATTTAAATCGCTCTTAAAGCTTTTCTGCCTTGGATGAGGGAGAAACAGTTAGCGTTAGCATTAGCTTCATCTGTCTGTAAGAAGCCACTGCCACCACGAGGCTGGGGGTGGGGGGTGGGGGTGGGGGTGGGGTTAACAAACCACCAACACGTCAGTGGCCATAATGTCCTGGCTAACGGAGACGTTATTGTTTAGTCATTTTCGTTCCTGTTTCTCACGACCTGAAGGGCCACAGTTTAAATAAACAAAGACTACGAATCAAAATAAACAATAATAAATATAAAAAACTTCCTAGGTACATAAATACATTATTATCCATCTCACTAATTATAATATCCGATTCATTGTAACAAAATAATCATTAAAGCTGTAGTGTGTAGTTTCCAGCCACTAGAGGGCAGTGCTTGTAGAGGTTTCAGGGTTGTTTTACACCACATCTTCCTGACTGTCGCTAGCTAAAAACATTACAGTAAATGTCACCTGTGGAGCAGAAAGGATGCAACCTTGGTGTAACTCCCCAGACTTTGATGGTTCTTCAGGTAATTCCATAAGAGAATGCAATGCCAGTTGTAGTTTTCAGGTGCTGTGTTTTCCAGATCGGCTTGGGGGCTTGCGCCTGCCGATGACGTCATATTACGGCAATACCGCACGGCCAAAATTTATTGCATCTCTTTTTCAAATCTGTTCTTTTATGTATGTTTTGAAAAAAGTTTAGCAATTTCGTTATTAAATTCATGTTTTTACTGCCTACATGTTTTTGAACGAAGTAAAGTTACTTCCAGAAGTTGTATGGTCAATCAATCATCTGGTGTGACGTCATCGACAGGCGCTGGCCAGAAGGAAACATGGCGTCGCCCAAAGAGGCTAGACCCGCACCTTATGTACTTTAGACCTGGTTTTTATGGTTATATGGTAAACAGCTAATGCTAGTCCAAGCTTCTGCTAATGCCAAATTAGCTACTGCTGTCCTAAGCTTCTGCTAATGCTAGTCCAAACTTCTGCTAATGCTAGCCCAAACCTGCTAATGGTAACTTAGATACTGCTAATGCTATCCCAAGCTTCTGCTAATGCCAAATTAGCTACTGCTGTCCTAAGCTTCTGCTAATGCTAGTCCAAACTTCTGCTAATGCTAGCCCAAACTTCTGCTAATGGTAACTTAGATACTGCTAATGCTATCCCAAGCTTCTGCTAATGCTATCCCAAGCTTCTGCTAATGCTAGCCCAAGCTTCTGCTAATGCCAAATTAGCTACTGCTGTCCTAAGCTTCTGCTAACGCTAGTCCAAACTTCTGCTAATGCTAGCCCAAACTTCTGCTAATGGTAACTTAGATACTGCTAATGCTATCCTAAGCTTCTGCTAATGCTAGCCCAAGCTACTGCTAATGCTAGTTATTTTTCAACAACTGGATATAATTTTATTTATTTTTAAAAACATTTTGATGGATGTTATAGACTAAAGGTAAAATCTGCTGATATAGTCTCTTTAAAGTAGAAACCAGAAACACAGTTCATTATTAATTTTTATTTTTCCGTTTAGCCACACCCATTGGTCAGTGGGCGGGGCTAATACTGTCTTTGCTGACATAATTGCTTTGGTCTGAAGGGAATTTATTGATAGTATAGAAATCCATTTTACTGGGATTGATTCATCTTGACTTGAAAAGTAACCAAACAGATAAAATCATAAAAAGTAATATAGAATAAAAAATATATAATTATTGTTTTAAACTGATTGTTTGCGTTTTATAACACATTTGAATAAAAGGATAAATCTAAGTAAATAACGTGTGCATTCGTTCTCTGCAGATGAATTTAGGTTGGGTACCTTCTGTAGCATAACTAAAGGGATGGGCCAGCAGAG